GGGGGGGGGGGGGGGGATAACCAACAGCAGCCAGCTAAAGATCATTTAACTTCATTTTAAAGTCTAACGGAGATTCAAGTGTTTCCAGAGACACCAAATATATTTAAATTAAATTAGAAGAATGTATGAAGTCTTGGGTTTAAACATTTTAAACAAGCAGCTCCAATAAAGAGCTACTTAAAGAGGATAACTCCACACAACTACTGTACATACATTTCCATTTTAAGCCCCACTTCACCACATTTCAGAGCCAAATACTGAAAAGTTGTTACCTCGCATTAATTTTACAGTAACAGCTACTCTGCAGAAATACGCATAAAAACTATTATGAGCTTATAAAACATGATGCTTCATTACAGATTAAACTACTCAACAGCAAAGAGGGCAGCTAAAGCAAACACTTAACAAAACAGTACTAATTAAAGCAATTATAATGTATATTTACCTTTAAAACTCAAGTGTACAGTTATGTGCTTTTACCTAAACACACTACTGAATGCCTGACCTTTAATTACAGTATTTATTATACTTATATTGGTGTTTTTTTTACTCCTCACCTGCCGCCACAATCATATCTCGCTCACAATCACACCGAAAAGGCGAGAAAGCGACAAAACTAGAGACACAAAGAGCACCTGTCTCTCTGCGAACACAACGCTAACCCTGCACTATCGATACCCCTGCAGATACATCACATTAATCCAACCGTGCACCTTTCTAGCAGGCGGATAATCGCAGCTCCTCGCAGCCGACCATCGTCTGTGCGGTCTGTGTGGAGGATGCACTGCCCGGCTGCTCCCGTTAGCTCCGGGGGCTATTCACCTCTGGGAGCCTACAAACGCTAAAAGGAGGAGGGGGTTTAAAACGGGAGCTGCTCGGGTTTCACTGAGCTAACACTGGATAGCCGGGCCCCGACCTCAGCTGGGGATGATTAGGCGCAAGGACTTTCTGATAATCGGCTAAAAAAACAAGCCAGGCGGAGAGATAACCCGCTCCAGCTCGCTAGCTCCGGGGGCGCTAACCTTGCTAACCCGGACTACTTCTTCTCGCTGGCAGTCGGAACCGGCTTTCCCGCTCCCGGACCTGGACTCTGAGTCCACTCACGGTTTTCGGGTTTAAACAGAAAGCGAGGACGGTATTGAATAAAGAGAGCCTACCTTTCAGAGAGAAAATGTAGCGGAGGGTGTTTGTTTGACAGGTGATGGTGTAAACACAGATGTGATTGGTCTACGAGCATTTCCTCTGCCCGCGGAGCGATACGAGCATGCGCTGCGACTCACCGAGTATAAAGGAAATGCCGCAGTATCTTTGCGCAACAGGAGCATCCACGTTAAATAGATCCGCCTGGTTTTGAGTCTCTCTCCACTGGTGTTGTTGTTTCACTCAGCAGTAGAAAAGGCCCAGATGTGGTGTCTTGAATGTTAATCGATAGGTGAAAGGATTCCTCCTTTAAGTAAAAAACCTCCCGCGGCGCCTCACGTTCATCAAACCGACCGGGTCTACTTCTCATTCATAATGGTGTGTGTGCTCTACAGGAGGCGGAGGATCTACTTTTAATGAAGTTATCAGCTTCTTTCATATGATTATTATATTATTATTATAGCACAACTTCACCAGGAAAATATAACTAACAAATGATAGAAATAGAAATACTAATATAGTCACACGTAGCTAATAATGTTATGAGATACTAAGTCTAAATGTAGACTTTTAAATCAAATATTTTGGGATAGTAAGTAGGTTTTTTTTACTAAATTAGTATGTTTTTGTTACTAATATTTTAAAATAGTCAACATTTTGAGTTACTAAGTAACAGTAAGTAGATAATAAGTCTAAAGTTTGACTTACAAAATCAAAATAATGAGATAGTAAGTCAAAAATACAACAATAAGTAAAAAATAATGAGATTGTTTCAAATAGTAAACCCAATTTATAAGTTAATAAATCAAATATTTGACTTCCCATCCTCATGTGTTTCTTGTTTTTTCGTATGATACTGATTTGCAGAACTATTAAAACCTTGTGCCACTGTTTCATTTACAATACAAACAGACAATAAGACATGTAAAACAAACTGTAATGTGAATCCAGTTTCTCCAGTGTAATGGACACTTCTGGTGCCTGTTCCAAACCACCAGGTGGAAGTAGGATACAAAAGTGAATTCAGAGGTGAAGGGAGAGTCATACAAGCGCCTCCTTCTTCTGTGAACTTGTCATGGCATTTAATTTACCGGTGAGAGTTGGTTATATACTGTATCATGTGATACTCACTTACAGGCAGTGGTCACCATAGGATTATATTATGTAATGCCATTTATTTAACACAAGTCAATATTTTAATTTAGATTGAGATTAAGAAAAAAATAAATGATTTAATTAATCAATAATATTGGTAATAATATCTCAGTTAGAAACAATAATAACAAACAAATAAAACATAATATAACATATTTAGAGGTGTGTTGGAAGAATAAAGATTGTGAAGTTCACAACAAACACTCAGGAAATACCGGAACTATGACGTTTTAGCTTTCAAAATAAGAGAGCAAAAGCCTCTAAATGATCAAAGCAAGATTTCTGGTTGAAAATATAAGATTTACATTATCATACAAAAGTAAAATGGTAAATTAAACTATATACAGATCAAATCAAATTATAGATGGATTAATAGATTAGGTTATGGGTGTTTTTGCGTGCAGTGTATGTTGCACAACGTTCACACAGTCAGAGTTGTAAATAATTCAGTTAATTGTGAATCTCATCAAAAAGAATGTGAATAAAAAGGTATATAAATCTCTTCATGTGCACTCTGTAGTTACCACCACTGTAGACCCATAACACAGTCTGTGTGTATTTCTTTTTAAATGTATGCTTTAAAATGGTTTACATTTGTTTTTGCTTATTGCTATCAGTTATTGTTTTCTGCTGTTGAAAGAGTGTTTTGATGTCTCGGTTTTTGAAATGCTGCAAGACATATTTCCTTCATGAGGCAGCAGAGATTGAAGGATTGCTAGAAGGAATAAGTTAGTAAATGCACGTCTATTATGTCATATATCACAAATATATATTTTTATAGATAACATATTAGTTAATTCAACTCAATTTCAACTCAAGTTTAACTTTATAACCTTAACCTTATAATATCTATGTGTATGCATGTATATCTGTTCATTCATCATATTATATATACATATTATTATTATATTATTATTAATATTATTAATATTATCATAATATACTGTTATTACCAATAACACTACCATCAT